CTATTAATCATGAACTTCCCACAGTATTGCAGGTATTGGTGGTCTCATAAAGTACCCACATCCAGAAAAAAGGAGCAGAAAATTTAGCAGACTTTACTTGCTAAATCCAGGTCAATACGTTTTTTTCCTGAAAATCTGGTCCTATTAAATTTCCTACAAGCTAAGGTTTTGGTGTAAAAAGATGATTTGATAATTATGTTTTTGACATTACATTTGAACTAAGTGCATATACATGAAGGAATATTCTTTGTTACAGAGTAAGTGTATAAAATATCAAAAAATGCTCCAAGGCACACTAACTTAATTTTTTTCTATCTGCAAGTATCCATGGCAGTGAACATGCCATGTTCAAATTGTTCTAAGCAGAAGGAATACTAAAGGAACACAGTCCTACAAAATATTCTGAGATTCTGTGTTGAGTGCCTTTGCATATGTGTTAATAGTCACAGAAAAATTATGCTGTGCTCTCTCTCTAACTCAGATAACCTGTAGCTATAAAATTATCATAGAATCACAGAATTGTAGAATGACTTGATCTGGAAGGGACTTTAAAGCCCACCCAGTCCCAATTCTTGTGGCACCGGCAGTGCCAGCCACCAGCTCAGCTGCCTAGGGCCCCATCCAACCTGGTCTTGAGCGCCTCCAGGGATGGGGCTCCCACAGAGTCTCTGAGCAAACTGTTCCAATGTCTTGCCATCCATTGAGTAAAAAATTTCCTCCTAATCTAAATCTCCTCTTTTTTACTTTAAAATGATCATTACAGCTGAATCATATCTAAAGAAATCATTAAGGGGAAAGTTAATTTATAATAACCTGTTACACATGGCACTAAACTAAGATAACAGTATTCAGAAGTCTCAAGTCAGTGGTAGTAATTTTGGGTAGAGGTGATGATTTGTCAAGCCACCTGAATTCCCTCACCACTGCTTATTCCAGGAAGCCCGGCACGGGTCACAGACAGTAGCATAGTGGGGCTGCCTGCCTACACAAAGCAACATGTTTGCAGAATAAAGGCTGAGTATTGCCACTGACAAGAATTTCAATGCTCACATTACAGTTTCATGAATCTTCACAAGCTAGCACAGTACAAATTCTCCAGGGGTTTTTCCTGCTATCCCTAAGGAAGTAATGAGAAGTAATCCTGTTCTTGGAAGGAAGAGAAAAAAGAAAAACAAAAGAAGGTTTGAGTAATTTTATTTTTTTTTTCCCTTTTTCCTAAAAAATAAGCAGTAAAGAGCATCTTTTTTTTTTTTTTTTTTTTTTTTTTTTTTTTTTTTTTCACCCTCACAGTTCACCTTTAAGCTCAATTACCAGTTTAACCAACCAGCCAAATTCCACTTCTGAAACTCTCCTAATTCCACATTGCCTTAGCTTTAGTGCTAATTGAAGCTGCTGCACTTTCTTTGGTTGAGGTGAACTGCTCTACTGAGGTTCCTGTAAGAAAATTGTTCCATGGTTTTCAAAGGAGAGCTGAACCATGCAGAATCTTCTGTAAAACAGAAAATAGTAAGCACTGTACTAGTTTTGTTAAGTTTCTACATCTAATCGATCCTACACTGAAATATAAATCTGAGAAAGCAGTGGCAGGAATCTGGCAGAATGGTCTCATAAAAAGAAGTGAATATTAACTATTTAAAATTAAAGTGAGAAGTTTAACTTTCCCCTCCTATTCCTCCTCTTCTGTAAATATATAAATGTATTTCTATAAATGTCAGAAAAGGTATGCATAAGTAGACACTAGTGGACTTAATTGAATACGTTAGAGCATTTCAAACAAAATGACAAATGCATATCAACAGAGGTCAACAGAAATTTATTTACAATGCAAAAAAAAAAAAAAAGCTTAAAGATATTTAGAAATTTTAAAGAGCTTAAAATATTAAGAGGTCTTAAAGTATTTTAATGTTTTAAATATTAAAAATATTAGAAATATTTCCTACGTATTGCAATTTGAATCATAGAATCATAGAATGGCTTGGGTTGGAAGGGACGATTAAAATAATCTAATTCTAACTCTTTCCTGCCTTGGGCAGGATTTCCACCCACCATTCAGACTGTCCAGGGCCCCAATCCAGCCTGGCCTTGAATACTCCGGAGGTGGGGCACACACAGCCTCTCCAAGCAAACTGCTCCAGTGCCTCACCATCAACTGAGTAACGAATTTCCTCCTAGCATCAGATCTAAATCTCCTCCCTTTTAGGTTAAAATTGTAATTTGCAAATACTTATTTCTCCACTGCTACCTTTACATCTGTAGATGAAAACATATGGCATTTACATATGCATATGAATTCTTAAATATTAATCACATATACCTTTGAGTAGTGAAATTTCTTATGTAGCTGATAGTCCCCCCAAATAAAGTTCATAATTAACACAGATCAAATAGCAGAAGATATACTATACTATTCATTCTACAGAACACTCCTGTATTGATGGGAAGATTGGCTGTTTAACTTCATGAGTCTTCCAATTCTGTAACATCCTTTCTGTAAGGAGATAGGTGAGAAGATAATGTTAAGTATTCAAAGTGTCGCACTGATAGTAGATCAATTTGGAGTCTTCATCGAATACCTCTGGGTCCATATGCAATACGTAGTGATTATGGGAATATATATACATGTCTAAGTATTTGTCAGCTGTTATTTACTTTGTCAGTATCGCTGCTGCAGTCTTTGCGTTCATAGGGAAAGGTGCTTCTGGAAATGACATTACAATTGCTGTAAAATTGAAGTGGTTCCTGGAAAACACCTCCACATATCTGAAATATCTCAATCTATTTATAACGTGTTAAATTATTTCTAGTTGATAGCCTTGCAGAGAAAAAATGCTATTTCCATTGCACAACAGCAATTTCTGACCATCAGGGCAATGCATAAAATAAAAGCTCACTTCAGTGATAGAGATACATTTTCAAATATTCATGACTTTTTGGAAGAAGTATTTTTAGCTATGAAATTCTACACAAGTGTTCTTTCTGCAAGTGAGTTCTTCTGTATTACATGAATAAAGCTGCCCAGTGTATGTATATGAGAAGAAATAAAAGTTTTTTTTTTTTTTTTTATCACATTCCTGACTCTACTAGCTCCCAGAGATTTGTAGAGATGAGTCAGATCTGTTTGCAAATACACTGGGTGTACCTGGTATTTCAAGTCTAACATTTTTAAAAAGATTGGGCTTCTAAAAACTGAGATTTAAATATCTGAAGTTGGGATTTATATACCCTAATGGGAAGTTTGGGCTTCGAGGTCAAAGAAGAAAATAAATCTCTAGAGTGCATTGCATGTTGGAAAGGTATATGTTTACTGTTGAGCTTCAGGGGTTTCTTGTGTATTCAATCCCTTCCTCATCCTGCCATACACAAACACTCATGCACAAAGATGCACTCATGCACATATCTTATAGAATTGTCTTTCAAAATATGCTTTCCTTCTATTTTTCAAATAGTAATTGCTTAGAGACGAACAGTCCTCAATCTTCCCCACTGCTTTTTTCAACCTCTTCTCCTATCCCAGGACTGCAGGAAAAGAAAAAAGCCACTGGAATTGGAGACTCTAATTCAGATGGTCAAATAGATATTATAATCATTTTATCAAAGATTTCCTTCCTTTTTCAACTTCAGTGCTTTGGTTGCCAAAGATAGAGTGATAAGTGCACATCCCTCAATGAGCTCTTTTTGCTCATCCTTCTGTGTCGAGCCTCAGCACCTAGATTTCCAACAGTTCAAAGCAGATCTGACACATCTCTTTAATAGGGTGGTGGGACATGACACATGTATGCTACAGCCTTGGGCTGCCTTCTCTAATTGAAGAAATGGCCAGTATAGGGATGAGTATGACAAGGCCTTGCATTGTCAAAAACTTTAGGGAGAATCCTCAGTGATTCAGATTGAATGCTTTTAAACATTTCCATGCAGCTGCAACAGCTCATCCGTCCTGTAAAAAGACTCTATGCCAACAATAGCATGAGTCACATAAGGAATTTCTGATACCCTTGTCAGCACATCTATTGGAATCTAAATTACAATGAGATAAGAATCAGGTGTCTCTCTGGAGACAGTGGGAAAGAAAAGTGTTTCCCAGTCTTTCCTGAAATGGAGAAAGTACGAAGAGAACACGACAATTAAAAAGATTATAAAAGTACTCTAAAGATTCAGAAAACTGTCATTGACTCATCTTACTAATATGTTTCCTTTGAAGATCCAGTTTTAAAAACTATCCACAGCTTTAATAAATACTATTATCCTAAAAGAAAAAGAAAATAAAGTATGCTTTAGATTTCTCCTGGATAATGAAAGTAATGGTTCATATCATCTAGGCAAATGTAATTGTGTTATCAGGTCTACAAACTTACTTCCTTCTGAAAAATGAAGCAGGTTTCTTAACACCATGGCTGACTCCAAAATTGTTGTTTGGCACTAAGCTCAGCATTTTCATAAGAATTTTAATATTATGCTGTCTTCACTCTGCTGCTATCAGTAAAATTCTCCTCTTCCCCCGAAACTCCATGTTTCAAAGCCTACCTGAAAGTCTAATTTCAGGCAGAAAAACATTTTTTTTTCATTATAACTGGTTGATGGAAAAAAAAAATAATAAAATACTGCCAGTACAAGCTTCTTGTTCTATACTTGCAAATGTCAATATGACAGCACCACAGTGAATATCTTGCCTTCACTTCATGAGCAATTCAGGGAATCTACAGCAAATGCTTTGGCACTACACAAAGTCAGATTAGAGAATCGATAAGCATAAATGGGTGGTGTCTTTCTTCCCTTGTGGGTCTGAAAAGTGAATTTGACCCACATGTTGACTGAAATGAAATGCTCTTCAAAATTTATAATTTAGCTATTCAGTATAGAATTGTAAAGATTATTCAGTCTCTCTTGTTCCCATGGTTTACATCCATAGCAAATTCTGATTATTGCATCAGCAAAAACCCTCTTACATCTGGAATCAAGCTCAGACATATGTCACAGGAGCCCAGAATTCTGTTTCCCCCAATCCAACCCTACAAAGAACACATTCCTATCGGGGGAAACACAGATTTTCTTTGCACTTAAAGCAAAGCATGGGAGAAAAAGGATCTGGTGAAAACTGGTATCTTAGCTCTGTAGACAAGGGACTGTAGGAGATATGTTCAAAGTAAGTGCCTGTACTAAGCAAATTGGATGGAAAATACAATTTTACTTGACTGTACCGCTGAGACACCATAGTTTCATTTGACTAATGCCCTGGCTTTTCATTTAATGTTTTCAGAAATGTAGCATGCAGATAGGGGATTTAGGTTCAGTAGAAAAAATCTTTCTTCACAAGAAAAAACATTCTGCATTGTTGCAGTAACTTGACCCAAAGCACTGTTGTTTTTTACTTTTTTTTTCCCTGAGGATAATCTTGTTTTTTTGAAGTGAACTAATATAATTATATGCACAGCACTGACTCAGATTCCAGTTAGGTTTCAAGTTCTTCAGGCACACCCAATAAAAATCATGTTACACAAAGTGAGTAAGAGAATGAAGAAGTATGGAGTGCATGTACTAAAAGACAGGTAATCTTCTAAACCACACAGAGGCATTACATGCTAAAGACAGGGTCTTTAAAGATTTCCAAAGACTCAGAACTTTCTAGCCCTGCAGCATTCATGAAGAGCTAGTGTTCCATTCCCTGGTTTAGGCCAGTAGTTAAGACAAAACCACAACCAATTACTCTCAATTATTGCCTTGATAGCTTATCAAGAGCAGTTTATCAACATGGTTATTCCCAGTTAGCCAGGTCAATGCCCAGAATAAACCGGTCATGACATTATTTTGGATAATATTGAAAATGAGTACTATTCATTGCTATTTCAGAGATATACTTTTACAAATGGGATACATAGTAAATAGAATTATGGGCCCCTTAATCAAAACATTTCTTTTTCCATCAAAATACACCTACAAAAGAAAGTAAAATTAACTTTCTTTGTTTCTTTAATACTTGTTTGGTTCCTATTTACAGAACTTTAAACTATAATACATAAAAGTATGTAAAAAGAAAAGATATATTCAGTTCAGGAATGGAAACTCAAAAGTTTCTTTTTTTCCAGGCATATTTTTCTGGTTATCTCTTTCTATTCACAGCAGTGCCATTTTCTGTCCAAATAAATAGAGGTTATGTAAGAAAAGAATTATCATATTGTGCTCTACGGAAGCATCTCTTAATACTAAACAATAGGTATTGTACAAACCAACATGCTACTTAAGTAATGTGGGACGCTAAATCCATTTGGTATCACACAGATCAGACCTGGGTGATTAATCACAGACTTAACAGGAAAGGTAAACAATCCATCCTCATTGCAGAGCAGAAAGCATACATCTTCTTAATCACAATGGGATTACAACATCCCATTCTCCACAGGTGTGTAGTTTTCTGTCATCAGCATCTGCTATGAATCATATGGAGTTATTATTCTTGTTTTAAACTAAATACAAAGCTGAAAATAACCATACAGCATTCAATTTCTGTTTGTGCAGAGAGAAAAGAAATAGTTATTTTATATGCAATTTGGACCACAATATTTCTTTTGGTTGTCTCATTTGGAAACATGCTTTTTTTTTTTTTTTTTTTTCCCCCCCTCAAACATTGCTATCAATATGCTATACATAAAACTGTGTATCGTGTGTATCACTAGCATTTTAACTTATTAAATAAACAGCAGTTAATCACACTTGCAGAGAAGGTCTAGAGTTGAACACACAGGTATCACACTGCACAGGCTGCCCAGAGAGATTCATGATCCTTGAGGTCCCTTCCAACCCTGTCCATTCTGTGATTCTGTGATTCTGTTCACTGTGTTCTATTTTTTTTTTTTGTAACAGTGGATGCAAAGCTCATGTACTGCAACCCTTTGCTTTCAGGCAGAAACAAGTATACCTACAGATTTTCTATCCTAGTCATAACAAATGTAATTGAATTTATTAGTGCTAGAGAAGAAGATTTCAATATAAAAAGTCAGTATTTCCTTCAGATTCCTTTTCACTGGTGTTTGCTGAAATTGCATCTCCTGAATCAGAACTGAGTGAGATTCCTGCTCACAAGTGTTTCTGTTGAAATGTGAAAATGGTATAAGTTCTCTACTAATTGTCCAAAAGAAGAAGGAAAAAAAAAAAAAAAAAAAAAAGGTAACATTGCAATTATGATTGGCAAAAAAAAGGACTTACCTCTTTCATCATTACTAGACTGGCATATTCTTACATTTTGTTACAGGAAAATATACCATAATGGATATGACAGCGAGAATGAAGACTGCTGTAGCCCCTTGGCCCCATAGAAAACAAGTACCGTGGCTGGAGATATATTCCCATTAGGCACACAGAACACTCATATTCACAACATCATATATACATGTATCATATTTCTGTGTATCACATATCCATTTATCACACATATACGTGTATCTCTGAGTCTATGTATCGACCTGTTTCTGCATCCATGTGTACATAGCTGGCCACAAAGATCACAGACTCAGAGCATTTACACAAACAGCACCAGTGACTTCATCTCACTCTGGCTGAACAGAAGAGAATCATAGACTCAAAAAACTGTATGAGTTGGTAAGCACTCTTAAAGGTCATCTAGCCCAACTCCCCTGCAATGAACAGGGATATCTGCAGCTAGATCAGGTTGCTCAGAGTCCCATCCAGCCTGACCTTGCATGTCTCCACAGATAAGGCATCTACCACATCTCTGGGAAGCCTAGTCCATTGCCTCACCAATCTTATCGTAAATAACTACTTCCTCAAATCCAGTCTAAATCTCCCTTTCTTTAGTTTGAAACCATTTCCCCTTGTCTTCTCTAAATAGTCTGTCCCTTCTATCTTATAGCCACCTTAGATACTGATAGACCTCTCTCAGGTCTTCCTGGAGCCTTCTCTCCTCCAGGCTGAACAGCTCCGGCTCTCAACCTGTCCTCTTAAGGGAAGTGTTCTACCCTTGGATTTTTGTGGTCCTCCTCTGGACGCACTCCAACAGATCCACATCTTTCTTGTGTCAGTGACTCCATATTCAGGCACAGTACTCCAGGTGAGGTCTCTCACCAGCACAGAGTAGAGGGGAAGGATCACCTCCCTCAACCTGCTGACTACACCTCTTTGGATGCAGCTCAGGATACATATTTTTCTTTCTGGGCTGCAAGGGCACATTGCTGACTCATGCCCTGCTTGCAAACCATCAGTACCCCTAGGCCATTTTCAGCAGGGCTGTACTTCATCTTTACATGCCCAGCTTGTACTGACAGTGGGGATTGCTATGACCCAGATGCAAGATCTTGCACTTGGATTTGTTGAACCTCATTATGTTCACCTGGACCCATGGCTCAAGCCTATCTAGGTCTCTCTGGACAGCATGACGTGCCTCAGTCATGTCAGCTGCACCACACAGCTTGATGTTGTCTGCAAACTTGCTGAGGACACACTCAGTTCCACTGTTGATACAATTGATGAAGATCTTAAAGAACATTGGTTGCAGTTCTTACTCCTGAGGGAGAAAACTCTTTAGTGATCTTCATCCAGACACTGAACCTTGGCTTCAATGGATATGAGCTCATAACAAGTTCCTCATCCATCAAAGAGTCCACCCATCAAATCTTTATCTTTCATCGTCCTTTTATGCTCTTCTTAAAAAAGAGTGTGATGTTGTCTTTTCTCCAGTCCCCAGCGACTTCACCTGACCACCATGACTTTTCAAATATCTTCAAGAGTGGATTGGTCATTACACCAGCCATTTCCGTCAGGACTCTGTGACGCATCTCATTGGGACTCATAGACCTACCGATGTTCAGATTTCTCTGGTGATCATGAAACCTGACCTTTGCTTACAGCAGGAGAGACATTGATCCCCTAGTTCCCCAGTTCCCGCCTTCTGAACCATCTGCTTGAGGACTGTGCATGGAGCAGTTGCTAGTGAAAACTGAGTCAAAAAAGTGTTTGAGTACCTCAGCCTTCTCCTTGTCTACTGTTACTAGTCTGTCTATATAAATTAATAGGGAGGGTAAGCCTTCCTGGACTTTCCTTTTCCAGTTGATGTACTTACAGAAGCCTTTCCTATCCTTCTTTGCACCCCTTGCCTAGTCCACTTCTATTTGGGCCTGGACCTTCCTGACCCAATCTTTACATGGCCTAGCAGCATCCCTATATTCCTCTCAGGTTACCTGACTCTGCTTCCACTGCCTGTTTTTTCTCCTCTTGCTCTCCAGTTTGACCAGTAAGTCCCTATTCAGCCATGCTGGTCTCTTGCCTTCCTTTCCTGACTTCCTAGACCTGGGGATGGAGAGCTCTTGTGCCCTAAGGAAAGCTTCTTTAAAGATCTGCCAGCTCTGCTCTGCTCCTTTGTCCTTGAGAACAGATCCCTATATTGAGAACAGATTATCTTATTTATCCCAATACAGGATTATCATGTATTTGGTGTAAACAATTTAATCATCGTATGTTTATATATATATACTGGAAAATATAAAAGAAGAAAGTTCTTGGAGATCAGATATGTATTAAACAGCTGGTGAGTACAAAATAAGCTTTTGTAGAGCAAGAGTTCCTGACAGTCTGTTGTCATTTATAACAGATATACTTGGTAATTGACTCAGAGGAAGACAATTGCATCTGCTGATTCAGGTAAGAAAAGTGGTAAATGCCAAATCTACCTTTTTGATAATGCAAAGGCAACATTCAATTAGGGTTAGCTGGTTAGCAGGTTCAGCTAACATTGCAATTACTGTTGTTTCATTCTGTTTCAAGTGAGAGAACGTGATATCTAGTTGTATTTTAAAATGAATCCTTTCTGTCAATTTCGCTTTTCCTGCTTCATAGGTTCCTAATGATGGGTTGTACTGAAGTGTAAAGAAAGAAATATACTGTGTTTGGGAAACAATGCTTTTTCATACAGTAAAATTCAATATTCAATATAGGGTGCATACAGTTACTCAGACCATATAAAGTTCCTACAACTGCAACTTTATGCAGAAAAACCAAACACCTAGTATATCTTTTCTAGGGGATGTCTGTTGATGATTCCATTTTACCTTTTTAAAATCAAGTGTGAAACCTGTAGCATGAGTGTCAAAGCCTGGAATATACAGAAACAAAGCCCCTTCAGTGTAGCTTAGTACACTCAGATTTATTTTGTTAAACATCTGAGTTGGGAGAACATTATATTTTCCTTTTTTGAAAGTCTCCTGAATATACAGGAGAATAATTTTTTTTATGAGGTGGAAAGAGGCTGAACATTTGTCAATTAATATAATATGCCTCAAGCAGGAAACACAACCCACACATACCAGTGGCCCTCTAATCTGACCTCTTTGTTTTGTGCACAATTATATCCATGCAGCACCTTTTTGTTTGTTTGTTTGTTTTGTTTTCCTTTTCATGTTAGAGTTAAGATTATGCCCCTATCTTCAGCCAATATTTAGAATAGCTTTCTGGAGATGCCATGTCATTAACTGGATGCAAATCTAATTAAGTGCAGACAGATCCTTGGGCTAGGAAAAGAGCAGTGTATTTTGTGACTACAAGGTTAGAGTTTATTTGGCTTTCCTGTTTATTATATATTCCATGCCCTCTTGACTGGCAGTTCTTTAACATCATGTTGATTCAGTAATTTTTCACATATTTGCATCAATAGAAACAGCACAATTATTTAGGGGTTTTCTTTTGGGTCATAAATGATTTTATTATTATTACTATTATTATTATTTAAATGTTAAGCCTTTTCTATCCTTTTAAATAAGGTTTTGATATTTTTAAGGTAGGTGTTACTTCTCATTTATTGTCCCTTCATTTCACTGCTGGTAGCATAACAACATCTAAACTTAATTGTAAGTACTTATCTTGCACAAAACGGATCAATGTGCTCCATTGCAAGCGTCACATGAGAAAAACAGTCAAGTCTAATTGATTTCAAAGTTATGTGGTACAACTACCGTTATAATATTTTCCCTAAAATGGTCTCAGTCAATGTTTATTACTTTTCAAAAATTATTCAGCAAGCTAATTATGTTTGTTTCAGGGTTTTTTGTTAATATTTTATTTTATCTTATTTTATTTTATTTTTACATTACTTGATTCATGCATTTTAGAAACAACCTAGAAATATGTGGTTTGGATCCATCAAAAAGTATAAGAATCCAAGTATTTTTCTTCCTGGACTTAACACTTCTTTCTGTTTCTGCACTGAATCTTCCTAACTTGTGCTCACATTCAGCCCCATCAGTCCTACTATCAGCCCTAACTGTTCTTGAAGTGTGAGGTGGACTTTCATGAGCAGATGATTATATAAAAGGTAAAATAATATGGTTTTAGAAGGATTAAATGATACCTCATATTATCTCAAAGACTTGTAGTTCCAGACAGTACAGTTCAAATAATTCATTTTTTTCTTTGATAAAAATGTAGGTGTTAACCTTTCAGGAAGTCTTCTTTCTATAGTGTCAGCAGCAACTCCAACCTGTCAGCTCAGCAGTACTTTACAACTATTGCAGCTCACTTGGTGTGTGATAGGGAAGAGAGCAGCAAGAATGATACTCATGCTCTTCCAGGACTGTGAAAAATGTGATATGAGTGGCCAGTTGTAAGTATAGTTCCAAAATATGGTTGAATGAGAACAGCTTCAAGGCGGAGTAGATAATAAATAAAAAAAATGATTGCAAAGTGGAAAAGTTCATCTGTAATGTGAGAACTGGTTCAGGGCACATAGGCTTAATGACTCTCTCTGTCTCAGATGGCCTCAAAGGCATTAGGAAAATCACTTAATCTGTTCCTAGCTATGATATATAGAGATATAGATGGGGTAATCTTTTTTCGCTTGATTTTTTCACCTTTCTTTTCAGTTTAGATTTGAAGTTGCTTGTTATTTTTTCTTACATTTCACCTGTATAAGTATTTTAACATTGTCTTCCATAACTTCCAGATTGATGAAATGATAAAATCTAGGGTTTATAAAAGTCTAGACAAACTTTTCAGATATAGGCAGACTAAATAAATGGACTGAAAGGGG